TCTTTTTGGCAGTTCCTTTTTTTTTTTTTTTTTTTTTTTTTTTTTGGTACCGGGGATTGAACTCGAGTGCCACCAAACCGCTGAGCTAAATCCCCGGCCCATGGCAGTGCTTTGATCAGAAAATTCTCCCTGATGTTGTTCTGATTCCTTCTGTCTTCCACCCCTATTATTAACTGATCTGCTCCCCTCAAAATTAATATTTTGAAGTTCTAATTCCCAATGCTTCTGAATAGGACTGTGTTTGAGATTGGGTCTTTAAACCAGTAATTAATGTTAGAGGTCAGTGTGGTGAGCCCTGATCTAATTTGAATGTTGTCATTGTGAGGAGAGATTAGGACACAGGCACAGAGGGAATACCAGGTTAAGACATATAGAGGAGATGGCCATCACAAGTCAAGGAAAAAGGCCTCAGGAGAAACCAAACCGACCAACAACTTTTTAAAATCAGATTACTAGCCTTCAGAACAGTAAGAAAATAAATATCTGTTGTTTAAGCCATGCAAGCTGCCCTGGATAGGGCAGCCCTAAAAATCCAATATAGTCCCGTGAAAAAACCAGTCTAGTCCGTCTTTCCCATGGCGGACCTTTACATATTTCAGGACACCCATCATATCAGGTTGGCAAAGTCTTTTTTAAAAGCCCATCCCATAGCAAGTACCAAGTCAGCCCCTTTCCTCTCCTCAGATTTGTGTCCCTTCTGTCATCAAAGTAGCTCCTTGAAAGAGAAGGAGCTTTATTTGCTTGTATGCAAGTCTCCTTCCGAAGGCAGTAATAACAGTCTGCATCCTTGATGTTACAAGTATTAGTGATAATAGATCTCATATTGTTTGTTTTTTAGTTTTCATGTTTTAACATCATTTCTCCAATTCTTATAAACAAATACTATCCAAATAAGATTCTTTATTGCCCCCAAAAGTTGATATCTAGGATATTTATGTGTCTTTGAATAAAAATTTCCCTTTATTAATGATTTGTAGTATTTAATGCTGTAATTATGATGTTACTTCAGCAAGGTGTTGGCTTGCCCTTTAAAGACAGGATATATTCGTCAGCAGTCACCACATTGTGCTGCACAACTGCTATGGCTTGTGTTTAGATATCCCCCAAAGCCTCATGCAGATGAGATAGGACTTTCTTTTTCAGTGGTGGCTGAATCTGGAATGTGTGATGCTGGGGTTAAGGGCATTTGATTACTAAACCACTACACATGAGTGATTAGTTTGGCACTGCTCTGATCCCAGTAGTCTGAATAAGACAAAAGGGGAAGAAAGATGCTGTTAAACCCTCTTGCTGCTTTTACTGCTTCTGCAGCCATGACCTGATGCCCCCCACACACACAGACACACACACACACACACACACACACACACTGTTTGTTGCCTTTGCTACCTTGTATGTGCCATGTTATTTCTCCTCTGTGATGCCCGTCTGCCATCCACCCAACCTTGGAGCCAGCCAGTTGTGGACTGAAGCCTCTACAAACTGTAAACCAAATAAACTCTCTCCCCTCCAACTTTGGGTGTCAGGTATTTTGTATCAGCAATGAGAGAAAAGTAACTAAACAATAATTAATATGATTCATTATTGCTCCCAAAAGCTTTTTGACTTATGAGGATGCCTCGCAAACGCAAGGTCCTCAGTTTGATCCCTGGCACCAGAAAAAGAAAAAAAGATAAGAGTAAAAGAAAAAAAAGAATATAAAAATAACTCAAAAAATAAGATCCTAAATAAAAGATTCAATTATAAATAGGCAAACTAAATGAACAGACACTTTTTGAAAGAAGAACAAACAGGTACTTGAAAAAATGTTCCGCATCTTTGGCCATTAGAGAAATGCAAATCAAAACAACACTGAGATGCCATCTTACTCCAGAAAGAATGGCTACCGTCAAGAACCCAGAAAACAACAAATGCTGACAAGGTCATGGGGAAAAAGAAACTCTTCTACTTTGAGGTAGAAATGTAAACTAGTACAACTACTATGGAAATGAGTATGGAGAGTTCTTAAAAAATTAAAAGCAGATTTTCCATTTGATCCAACTGTACCTCTTCTGAGTATCCTCCTAAAAGAGTTAAAGAGATCATACTACAGAGATACATACACACCCACGTTTATAGCAGCACAAATCATAATAACTAAATCTTGTTAATGGCCTATATGTCCATCAATAGATGGATGGATAAAGAAGATGTGGTATATTACACAATGAAGTACGACTCAGTCATAAAGAATAAATTTGAGTTATCTGTCAGAAAAAGGATGTACCTTGAGCCCATTAATGCTAAGCTAGATAAACCAGACACAGAAGGTTAAATATTGCACGCTTTCTCCAACATGAGAAACTCAAAGTACAAATAACTTAAAGAGCAAAATGAAATACAAAGCATAGGATATAGGGAGATGGGAAAGGGATCTCGGGATGTGGGAGATGGGGAAATGGAGAAAGGATCAAGACATGGTATATATATATATGTACCAACTGTCTACGATAAAGGTATTTAACATGTATCACAAATATACACCAATAAAAGTTTTTAAAACAAAAAACAAAGATGAAGCAAAGAGGTTGTTCACCATTATGGGGGCACCTGGCACTATAGCTAAGCAGTTCTCAGCAGCTGGTCTCCGGGAACAACATTTCTATACTTGCTTCTTCTGCCTTCCCAGCAATTCCCTGACCTCCCTGATATCCTTATGAATTCCATTTAGATTCAAGCTAAGCTGAGTCAATTTCTGCTACCTGTGAGGAAATAACCCAACTACTGCATCAGGCCAAGCTATTGGGTGCCCTCAGTCTGGCTCTTGGTCTCCTCTAGCCAGACAGTAAGAACAAGCTTCGTGCGCGACACACTGTAGCCGCATGGAAATAACTTCTATCTCCGGGCTCACCAGAATGGCCCCCCATCTTTTCATGGTCTCAGCTTCTCTTCCCAGAATTCTCTCCCAATTCTCCTTCTACTTGAAAACATAATTAAGACTTAAACCTAAATATTACCTTTTCTGAGAAATCCTCTGACCACCTCATGCATTTGCTCCTTACTCTGCTGAGGAGAATTCTGGCAACATTCTGTTACAGGCTGAATTGTACCTCCCCGAAATTTCTGTGTTGAACCCTGAATCCCTAGTACCTTAGAACGTGACTGTATTTGGATACAGGGCCTGTGAAAAGGAGAGGTCATACAGGTAGGTCCTCATCCAACATAAACGGTGTCCTTCTAAAAAGAAATTAGAACGCAGACAAGAGACACTGTGTGCGCACGCGCGCGCGCACACGCACGCACGCACGCATGCGCACTGTAAAAAACCAGGTGAGAGGACACACCCAAAAGACGGCTTCTGCAAGCCAAGGAAAGACCTCAAGAGAAACCAAGCCTGTCGACACCTTGATTTTGGACTTTCAGCCTCCAGGACTGTAAAAGAATCCACTAAATTTCAGTCATTTAAGTCACCGGCCTGTGGAATTTTCTTATGATTACCCTAGGAAACTAATATACATTCCTACTAGACGATGCTGCCACCTCTAATCATTTGTCTCCCGACTGTTCCCTGTCTCCAAGAAGAGGTCAGATACCCTGAGCCAATCTGGCGCTAATGTCTGAGGAACAATGGGGGCATGAGTGCAAAGGGCCAAGGAAAGAAATGATGGGCAATTTCCCTCTTCCCAAATTTCTCCACGAAGATCTGATTTGGTCCCCAGTAGCAACGAGTTAAAGATCAGCAGAGAATAGTTCTGCAGAGACCCCACACAGCTTCATTAGATTCTTTGGCTTTGAGATGTCACCACCTTTGAGCCACGTGGACCCACACACTTGGGTGGGTTCCTTCAGTGACTTCAGCCCCACAGCTTTAACTGAGCTCAGCTTTAACTGCAGCCCGAGATCTGTTCCTGGAAAGATTTAGGCTAGTGATTCTTAAACTTTGGCAAACATCAAAATCAGCAGCAGGCTTATTAAAGCACAGATGGCAGGGCCACCCCCATAGTACCTCATTCAATAGGTCTGGAGTGAGATTTTACATTTCTAACAAGTTGCCAAGTGATGCTGGTACTGCCAGCCTAGAAACTAACCCTGGCAAAGGGCAGCTGGCATTTCAGGGAAGGTGACAGAAACCATTGCAATAACACTGAAGGAGATCCAGACAGAGATACAGGTGATAGGAATGTGTAATTAGGCCAAAGAGCTTGGCATGTGCA